TTGACCTCATGATCCGCCCGCCTCGGCCTCCCAAAGTGCTGGGATTACAGGTGTGAGCTGCCGCGCCCAGGCCAGGATCTCACTCTTTTCAGTGGCTAAATAGTAAGCACTCCCTTGTGTATATGGACCGCATGTTTTTATCCATTCATCTGTTGATGGACAGGTGATTCCTAAATCTTGGGTACTGTGAACAATGCTGTAATAAACGTGGGAGTGAAGAGATCTCTTCAATACACTGATTGCCTTTCTTTGGAGTCTGTGCCCAGCAGTGGGATTGCTGGATCATATGGTAGCTCTACTGGTGGTTTTTGCTTTTTTTCTTTTCTTTTTTTTTTGAGATGGAATCTCGCTCTCTATTCTTGTTGCCCAGGCTGCAGTGCAAAGGCATGATCTGGGCTCAATGCAACCTCCGCCTCCCAGGTTAAAGTGATTCTCCTGTCTCAGCCTCTCGAGTAGCTGGGATTACAGGAGCCCACAATGACACCTGGCTAATTTTGTATTTTTAGTTTAGAGACGGGGTTTCCTCCATGTTGGTCAGGCTGATCTCGATCTCCTGACTTCAGGTGATCCACCCACCTCAACCTCCAGGAGTGCTGGGATTACAGGCATGAGTCACCACGCCCAGTCTACTTTTAGTTCTTTGAGGAACCTGCAAACTGTTCTCTGCACTGGTTTGTAAGTTTGTTGTTTTAACCTTATCACTGGATACCTAGCATGGGCAGAGTGGTAGGGGTGGATAAGGCACTCAAATATTTCTTCAAGGGAGGGAGCAAGGAAAGCAAGGGGGCCAGAACATTCACCTTGGACGTCCTTGAACCCTCACCACACCTGGTATTCAGCCTGGAAGAATAGCACCAAATCATGGGTGTGCAAACGGATGGATGAAGAAATGACTTTCTCCTGGGGCTTCATCGTGTCAAACTCACACTTCTCGTCTCCAGTGGCACTGACCCCTGTCCTGTCTCAGCACCTGTTCAGGTCTAAAGTGGCAATCCTGGGACCCCATGGCCTGTAGTTTCCTGATGTGTTTTTTGCACTTTTTTTTTTTTTAAGACAAAGGAGCCCAGAGATTGGGTATCCTGTTTTTTTGGTTTAAAACTGTTGGAGGTATTCGAACCAGAGTGACTCCATCTTGAATAGGGGCTGGATAAATAGAGTCTGAGATCTGCTGGGTTGTTCCAGGAGGTTAGGCATTCTTAGCCACATTAGATTTACGGTTAAAGGAATAGTTGAATTCATGTCAACCAAACCAACCCAAGATTTAACAGACCCAGGAAATGTCCTAATATCCTGATATCTTACGAACAAAAGCATTGTTAGTTTAAGAATCAATTTCGCTTTAAAGGTATAGATTCTTGTGAAGATGGTAGTTATGCAAAGATGAGCAATCCTTTGACACAGCCCTGGCAGTGACGCACCTCCCCCATGGCTTTCACTCTGTTATTCTGTATGTAAACAAGCTTTTCAGCTAAGATGGATGCGTTCCTCCTCTTGCCTTTGGGAGCGCCCTGCGCTGTCTATGAAGTAGCCCTTACTTTATTCCCATACTCTCTTAATAAACCGGCTTTTGTGTTACTCTCTGGACTTGCCCCCAGTTTTTCCTTGTGCAAGATCTAAGAACCCTCTCTTGGGGTCTGGATTGAAACCCCCTTCCAGTAACAAAACCACAGTGGCCCTGATTTTCTTAGAGAGAGTTCCTGAGAGTCCAGAAGAAAAGATTTGTGTTCCGATTGCATCCAGGTCAAGCAGCCTGACCCGACTTGTTGACAGTTGTCTGTGCTGTTACAGAAAAGTCTCCACCCGGGAGAGGTGGGGGACAGGGCCAATGCCCATTTGCCTTCTAAGCAAATGCATCAGAGACTGTTCTAACAGGGAAGGAAAGTATAACTAATGAAATTAAATTCAGGGAAGGAAGATGAGCTTTGCTAATGATTAATGTTCACCTTAATAGATCGGCAAGACATGCTGAGTTGAGAAGCTGCCCAGATGGTTCCAGCACGGTGCCCAAGCACAGGAGGAACAATGAGAGGAGCAACTTCGGCTCCTCCCACGCGCAGCTGGTCTCTGGGGAAACACAGTCATTAATTGCTCTGAAATGTCAGTCGCTTTGCTTCCAAGTCGCCACTTCCCCAGCAGCTTTCTGATCTGCCCCTTGAAAATGACTTCCAGTGTGGACATTGACGCTAGCTTGTGTTTAAAACAGAATTTGGGGCCATGTGTGGTGGCTCATGCCTGTAATCTCAGCACTTTGGGAGGCCGAGGCAGGCGGATCACCTGAGGTCAGGAGTTCGAGACCAGCCTGACCTACATGGTGAAATCCCATCTCTACTAAAAATACAAAAATTAGCAGGATATGGTGGCGAGCACCTGTAATTCCAGCTACTCAGGAGGCTGAGGCAGAAGAATTGCTTGAACCCAGGAGGCAAAGGTTACATGCGTCAAGGTTACACCACTGCACTCCAGCCTGGGTAACAGAGTGAGACTTCGTCTCAAAAAAAAAGAAAATGAATTTTGGGGCCACCTACCATATCAGTGCATTAGCATTTTACATTTTTTTTTTTTGAGACAAGGTCCCACTATGTGGCCCAGGCTGGAGTGCAATGGTGCAATAATGACTCACCACAGCCTCCATTTCCTGGGCTCAAGTGATCCTCCTGCCTCAGCCTCCCGAGTAGCTGGGACCACAGGCACAACACCGTGCCTGCCTAAAGCAAGCATTTTACAAAGTGACGAATCAGTTCAGTTCAACACATGGGGGTGGCATCCTGCTGTTCTTCCCCTGCTGTTCTTCCCCTCGGAAAGCAAATACCCACAGGGAATGATGCACACAGAATAGTGTGAGGTAGGGTCCGTGGGGGCTTCCAGAGAATAAGACAGAGAGCCAGAAGGGGACCCAACTAAGGCATCACCTGCCAGCCAATGGTGGCCATATTGTCTTCCTGGAGGGACAGGCCCTGGGCTCACAGCAATGCACCATCTGGGGCTGGGGTCTTCTGCTCTCTCTTTTCCAGGCACCAGCGGCAGACAGGAAAGGACCACTCTCCCAGGGTCCCCCTTTGGGACACATGGCCTCCTTTGCTCTCCATCTCTTCCCTCTGGGGTTTCATGGAGCCCCGACTGTGTGCCAGGCCCTGCAGCAGCTAAGGACACCGGGCTCCAGGCCCCGCTCTTGCAAGAGAACCAGACAAGCTGCCTGGGCAGTGGACAGTGTGAGGCGACACACCAGGAGAATTGGAGCAGGCAGGTGCCTTGGTGCGGTGTCGGGAGGGGCGGACATCTGTGTGACAACGGAAACTTCCCTCTGTTTGGAACCTCCCTGTATGTAACTCTGCAGTCTTTAAAACAATGTAATCTCTAGGACGCCACAGCTTCCCAAATCCTATTGACCTGTGATTCGGATAAGAACTGATCTCATTTGTGTCTGAATGAATGAATGTTGTCTGTGCAAGCAGCTGACTTCAGGGCTAGGCTGGTATCCAGCATCATAAGAGCAAAGGCATGCTTTGTGGTTGCAGATTGGCAACGGAGCGGCCCTCCCTCACTCTCCCGTGGGGCCCGAGAGGGTCCAGGGGTGAGGGGAGCCAGTGGCGGCAGCCTGCCTCAGTGCGTGTTCTCCGAGCTCTTCCTGACCTTGCTGGGAGTGTGTCTGATCAAACGTTTCCCCTGTGACTAAATATTTGGTCACGGCAGCAGGAGAGAATTCCATCAGCGGACAGCTCTATTTTTAAGGCTCTGGCTTTGTTTTCTGTTTCCCAAGAGGCAGCCCCTGCAGCAGGCTGGAGCCTCTGACACTGACAGCCTGTCTCGTGTAATGTTAAGCAGGCATCGGACACTTGCTGGAAGGCAGGGAATTGCAATGGAAAACGGTGGAGGTGAGAGGCTGTGCTCCTCAGGGTGAAGGCAGCTTCTGTGCTCCTGAGATCTACTGTCAAGCCAAGGTGACGCCTGCTTGCATGCTACCTGAGGGGTGTGTGTGTGTGAGAGTGTGTGTGTGTGTGTGTGCCTGTGTGCCAGTGTGTGTGTGTGTGTGTGTGTATGTGCACACATTTTCTATAATGATAGCATCCTATTTGCCAATCACTGCCTGAAGCAATCCTTTCTCCAACCCCACTAATCAGCTCATTTATTCACTCTCCCCTCATGAGTCTGTTTTGTCTTGCCGTAAAGAAATATCTGAGACAATTTATATATATATATATATATATATGTGTATTTGGTTTATGGCCCTGCAGGCTGTACAGGAAGCGTGGTGCCCTCATCTGCTTCGGGGGAGGCCTCAGGAAGCTTTTACTCATGGCAGAAGGGAAGGGAGGCTGGCATCGCACATGGCGAGACAGGGAGCAAGAGAGGTGGCAGGCTCTTTGATTTTATTATTTATTTTCTTTTTTGTGTGATTATTTTTGACTTTTATTTTAGGCTCAGGAGCACATGCAAGTTAGTTGTAGAGGTAAACTGTGTGTCATAGGGGTTTGCTGTACAGATGATTTCATCATTCCAATAATGAGCACAGGACCCTATAGAGATTTTTCCTGGTCCTCTCCCTCCTCCCACTTTCCACCCTCAAGTAGGCCCCAGTGTCTGTTGTTCCCCTCTTTGTGCCCATTGGTTCTCATCCATTAGCTCCCATTTATAAAGAAGAACTTGTGGAATTTGGTTTTCTGTTTCTGCATTAATTCACATCAGATAATGGCCTCCAGCTCCATCCATGTTTCTGCCAATACATGATCTCATTTTTCAAGGCTGCATAATATTCCATGGTGCATCTGTACCACATTTTCTTTATTCAGTTTACTGTTGATGAGTACTTGGATTGATTCCGTGTCTTCGCCATTGTGAACAGTGCTGCAGTGAACATATGTGTGTGTGTGTGTGTCTTTATGGTAGAATGATTTATTTTCCTTTGGGATTATGCTCAGTAATGGGATTTCTGGGTCAAATGGTTTAAGCTCTTTGAGGAATTGCCACATTGCTTTCCACCATGGCTGGGTTCGTTTATGCTCCTGCCGACAGTGTGCAGGGATTCCCTTTCCCAGACAACCTTGCGCCAGGCTCTTTTGCACAACCAGCTCTTACATGAACTCATTGCTGCAGCGGGGGCACAAACCATTCGTGAGGGATCCGTCCCCATGACCCAAGCCCCTCCCACCAGGCCCCACCTCCAACATTGGGATCAAATTTCCATATGAGATTTGGAAAGGACAGATATCCAAACCATATCAAGCACCCTCTAACCTAGTATCTCAATCTCAGCTCTCCTGTGAGCTGGCCCTGTGGTTTTTGCACATGCGCTCCATCGGTCCAGGGCTCCTTTCCCCTATGTGACAATGTGACCTCTCATAGAGGACGTGCCGCCTGCCCGGAGCCCCATCAGAGGTTTAGCCGCTTTTGCTGTCCAGTCTCTTCTGAGACATTGCAACCCACCTCTTACACATCCGCCGCTCATGCCCTGAGCATACATAGGTGTCGTGTGGGCAGCGCTCTTGTTACGCACCTGCCATTTGTGCCCTGAGTAAGAGATGGCATTGTGTAGGCAGTGCTCCGGGTTTCTGCTGGAGAAAAACTGGTCCATTTCGACCTTCCCCATCCCCACAGATTTGACCTCTGTAGGACTGGTGCAGGGGAGCATGGCTGGAGGCCAGCCAAGCAGACATTAATTCTTTGTCCACCCCTTGGGAAATGCTCCTTGCAACAGCACCTGTAGGAGACCTTCCCGTTATGCATAGGACCCTGCCTTTTAGGCTTTCTTTCCACCTACTCCTGGACACAGGGGTTGATCCACAGCGAGCACTTGAGCCATTCAGGACAATCGTGTTTTGAATGGAGTTGATGGTGAAGAACACAGTCTCTGTGCTGTCAATACATAGCCTCCTGTTCTGGCCAGAGCCATCCTGGGAGAATGTGGCTGTCACGCGGGGAGGCAGATAGCGGGCTCCTGGTGATGATGCCCGAACCCTGAGACCTTCGCCACTGCCATTTGCTTCTGCGGGCACATCCACATCCCTCTTGAACCACAGCAACCAGGAGGAGGCTGGGCAAAGGCCCAGAGAGGGACGTGGAGCGGGGCATTGTTGAAAAAGCAACACGATTTGGTAACACACTTCAGCATTGATCCCAAGGGAAGGTGGATTTTAAAAAACCATATAAGAACATGACCTTTGCCACTGCTCTTGTAGAAATGGAAGAAGAGGGGATCGGGGCGAGTGAGAGGCCACCTTATCCATGGGTAGTGCCTACAAGGCATCTGCAACATTGACCTGGGGCTCTCCCTGCTGTGGGTGTGTTTCCTGTGAGCTCAATGGTTAGTGGGAAAGAAAACAGCAAAGCAAGGTCACATTAATTGGAAAATGTGATTATCTTCAAAAAGACAAGACACCATGAAGGCTTCTCCAGCTCACCTCCAAAGATTTGCCTGCATCCCAAAAAGCTTTTTTTTTTTTTTTGTAAAGGTCAACAGGAAGAAAATCTTTGATGTACTTTAGTTCTGGATTCAAGAGTATTTCTGACATCTGGGCTACATGGCATGTCTGGATGTTTTTCTACTTCCTCAGACTTCCTGGATCGAAATTAAGCTTCTCACCTTTAACGATCCCAGGTATCTAACTTCCACCTGCCAATGGTAATAGGGCATTTTCAGGGTCTAAGACAAAAATAACCCTAAAAGTAAGCAAGATTTAGGCAGTAGCGGGGACACCCTACAGTCATTGTTCAGGCACAGTCACAAAGCAGAGGGCCCTTTGGAATCCAGTCCCACGGCATTGCAAACCCAAAGCGGCCCCAAAGTAGCGTGTCTCAGTGGATCGAGGTTTGTCTGGCCAGACTTAGGGTGCACGCAGGAAGGAGGAACACAAGTCCCAGTAGAACCTGAGGCCTGTGTTTTTTTCAAAGAGGGTTCCAAAAGCTTCGATATTTAAAGAGGAGAGATCAAGTGGGAGGGGAAGAAAAAGTGAAAAAAAGGAGGGAGGGTAGGTAACGAGACCGGCATTATCTTCGTGAAACGCGCGGATCCCTGCTCAGTGAAGGTACATTTCAAGTGGGAAAAGGCAGGCCACGGGGGTGGGGGGAGGGGCGGTCAATGATACATTTGTCTGATGCCCAGTAAATCTACATTTTACATAAGCAAGCATGTGCAGTAAGCTCTCTGGGAACAAAAGGAAGGCAGCTTTTGCATGACTGGGTTCCAGGCTTAACCCTCCCTTTGGCAGAGCCAGTTTCAGTTCCTGAGATGCGGTTTTTCTTTCACAGCATCAGAAAAGGAAGATGGATTTCAGTGTATTTAGACTGGGCAAGCTGGTCTAATTCTACCCACTCCACACCTCTCTCTGTGGTCTTGGTCTAGTAGCTACGCTCATCAACATTTCCTTTTGGCTCATGCAAATATTTGAATATTAAAATATCAAAAATTTAAATACCCGTGTCAGGTATTCACTGGAACATAAGTTAATATCTGAATATCTAGAGGTGGACGTAGGGTGTAGGGTTAAGGGGAATTCTGCTGTAACTGGTCACCTTCAAAGTTCACTCTATATGATTTACTTATTTATTTATTTTTGAGACAGAGTCTCACTCTGTCACCCAGGCTGGAGTGCAATGGCGCAATCTCAGCTCACTGCAACCTCTGCTTCCTGGGTTCAAGTGATTATTGTGCTCAGCCTCTCAAGTAGCTGGGATTATAGTTGCTCACCACCATACCCAGCTAGCTTTTTGTTTTTGAGATGGAATCTTGCTCTGTCATCCAGGCTGGAGGGCATTAGTGCGATCTCGGCTCACTGCAGCCTCCGCCTCCAAGGTTCAAGCAATTCTCTGCCTCAGCCTCCCGAATAGCTGGGATTACAGGCACCCACCACCATGCCCAGCTAATTTTTGTATTTTTAGTAGAGATGGGGTTTCACCATCTTGACCAGGCTGGTCTTGAACTCCTGACCTCGTGATCTACCCACCTCAGCCTCCCAAAGTGCTGGGATTTCAGGTATGAGCCACTGCTCCCGGCCTCAGCAAATTTATTGTATTTTAGTAGCAACGAGGTTTTGCCATGTTGGCCAGACTGGTCTCCAACTCCTGGCCTCAGGTGATCCACCCACCTTGGCCTCCGAAAGTGCTGGGATTACAGACGTGAGCTACTCAGTGTAATTTAAACAGTAGTTTCTATAATACTAATTCCTGGGAACAACACCATTTTACTGATGGGAAAACTGAGGCTCTGAGATGCTGAGGTTATCAGGCTACAAGTGGTGATCTGACTCCTGTGACAGTGCTCCCTGCTCATTAAAAAAAACTAGTAGGGCACCTTTTCTGTGAAGAGGGTGGAAAATTGCTTCAGAAGAGCTTTCCGATCTACTACCTAAAGTGCCTGGGAGGAAAGGCCACTAGAATACAATGTTAAATGCGGTGAATTTTGTGTTTAAAACTAACTCAAAGGCTCACACTTGTCAAGGTGGGGAGACAGCAAGTCAATGACTGCATTGCACACAGAAATTATACAACTTCTGAAAATAAATTGTGTTGCCCTAATAGATTTTACCTATGAATTAAAAATTGAAACTCAGTTTTCTCTTTGGCCAGCTGTGAGCTTTTGCCTGCTAGGAACAGAGTCCCAGTTCACACAGGACCCCCAGCTACCTCAGGACCCTGGACAGAGTCCCGGCTCACATAGGACCCCCAGCTCCCTCACACCCACTGACTGATGAACGCCTGTGTGTTTTGTATCGGTAACCTGAATCAGGTAAAAGCTGCATGGAGAGATGGGAGGGGGCGGGCACAAGGATTGTGGTGACATCCCCCTGTGGGTGCGGGACCTGCAGCCTTAGGGGCATGTGGCCTGGTGTCTGCTGTCTCCATGCCAGGTGTTCAGGCACTGCCATCATCTTGGGGTCAGCATGTAGGGCCCTGCTGGAGTTCACACTCAGCCCTACCGGGCATCAGATTCTGTCTGGGATGTACTGCAGGAGTTAGAGACGTGGGTTGGAAGTGGGGCTCAGAGATCAGAGACGAATATGGCTGACTGAGAATTAGGCTGGGCTCCAGCTCTGGGTACAATGGGTGGAAAAGTCAGAGGTGCAGCAGCTGCTCAGGAATCTGGTGGGAAGAGGCTCAGCTCACCTGAGTGGCCAGGCCTCTAGGCCCGGCGATGGGGACTCCAAGGCGAGCAGCCCGGAGGTGCTTCTGGTTTTCCCATCAGCCCCGGTCAGTGTCTAGGGAATGCCCAGGAGAAGCAGCAGAAGCCCTGGGTTCCTGCCACCCACAGAGTCTACAGGGCCACTCCTCTGCCCTGGGGTCAGGGAGCTGGGGCATCGTAGACACCTCCTGCCTCATGCTGTCTGCGCCCTGCGGCATCACTCAGAGACTCCTCCATTGCAAGAACACTCTGCCCCATGCTAGCTGGGAGCCAAGGGAAGATTCGATCAGGAGCCTGTGGGTGCCTTCAAAGGCTTTCAGGAAACTCTGATGGACTCATAAGGGCTCTCTTTCCTGGTCCTGGCTCAGGGACACTGATGTGTGTGGCTGTTGTGTGCCATGTCTTGTCTTCCAAAGGGACTCTCTGGCTAAGAGTTAGGCAGAGGCAGGCCACCTGTTTCTGGGATCTCCAGTCACTGCCACTGGAATCTCAGGGGACTCACCCAAACCCACCCACATGGCAAGCAGAAAGCCTCACAAATCACTGATGTTCCACATGAGTTTTTCCAGCAGAGCACACAGGGGTCCCTCTTCAATAACTGCTTAATATCTGTAATACGTCTTAGTGTTTTCTAAGATAAAGTCCTGTTGACAAGGCCTGAGCTCCTGTGTGTCTGGTGTCTGGCTCCGCAGGAGGGATTTCCATGTCTGCTTGCAGGCTGGGGTCCAGTCTAGCTCTGGATGGAACGCTGGCCTTGCACAAAGGAAGGGAGCCACAGAAGGCAGCATTCAAAGCCCGAGTCCCTGGAGGATGGAGGATACAGGACGTGGAATGCAGGTGTCCTGTGAGCAGGAGCGGGGAGCGCGGAAGAGGGCGGTATCGGGCTGTGCAGAAGGAAAGGCAGCAGCAGCCGCCCCGGCTCTCCAGGCTTTCTGTGAAACCCTTGGCTTTTGAAAGATTCACCTCTTGGGGGGCATTTGGGGTGAGGCAGGGTGGAGAGGACCGGGAGTAATGATGTCAGGGCACGTGTAGGAAGAGAAGTGGTCCTCTGTGCTGGGTGTTGGCAGAGAAGACTTGGAAAGGATTTGAGTTAATACCTTTTCAACAATGAGCTTTCAAAGGTTGTTCCACGTGGCCTCTGTCGATGCCTCTCGCAGGAGGAAAACATCTCCAGCCACATTTCAGGAGCCAGCCCGGCAGCTTTATCCGTGTCAACAGCTGAGAACAGCGCCAGGCAGCAAATGTGCAAAGAAGCGTGTGGAGATGCCATGGGGATTCCGGCTTTCAGCCTTGGAGTTGACCATGCTGGGAAGTTCTGCTAGATGGAGCATTTGTGGGCATTGTCAGAGAGCAGAGGGCATGTGAGTGGCCAGGCCTCCAGGCCTGGGGACGGGGACTCTGAAGCAAGCAGCCTGGAGGTGCCCCTGGTTTTCCCATCAGCCTGGGCATGTCTGGTGATGCCCAGAAGGAGCAGCAAAAGCCCTGGGTTCCCGCTCCCCATGTCCAGAGTGCACAGTTCCACACCCTGCATCGCAATGGGGGCTTAAAGCAGTGGCCATGCCTGCTTCCCTCCACCGGGGAGCTCAGCGCAGAATCCCAGTTGCGAGGCTCTGCCTCCAAGCACCCGCCTCACTGGAACAAGTCATCACAACAACCAAGACAGCTTGCAATCAAGACTACACAGCCCTCGTCCTTGTATGGAAACCACATGACAGGTATTAAAGCGTGGCTATTTGAGGAAATCATAATAAATATCTTTGGCAGAGTAAGGCTGGTGACGGCTTGAGTCTCAATGGCTGAGACTCTGTCAGCCTTCCCATTATGAAACCCATTTTTCAGAGTTTTTAACTTGAAAGTAAAAATGTGCTCCTGGTAGAAGAAACCTAGTACACGAAGTCTCCATCCAGAAAGAGGGACCTGAACAGATCCCTCTTCGTTCAGATCAGTTTGAGATTGTAAAGAAAGATTGTCCTGATAGGTCTGGCGCTGGGACAAATCACCCGATTTCTGTTGCAAGCAAGTTAACAGCAGGGAAATGTTTGTGGAAATCTTGCCCAGAAAGCACCTGCCTGATGTTTACCTGGAAGTGCCTATCAGTGGGTCAAATTCTGGGGGCTGAAAGCATTGGCCAAGTGGCTACTGGAGAGCAGAGGAGGGGCACCTTTCCCCCTAGAAAGAGCTCAGATAGGATCTGAGGCTCTAGGAACTGTGCCCGGCTTCCTGACCTTTCTGAGGGAATTCACTGAACCTGGCATCTAGCGGCTGTTGAGTGCTGACTGTCCTCTCGATGTCATAAGTCAAACGCCTGCTTCTAAGTCATGCAGGCCCCAAAAGCATCACTTTGCCTAATTAATGAGCACCTAGATGGGAACCCTAGTTCTCCATCATTAGATGCCTCCACTCCGTTTCCCAAAGCCCTTCACAAACAAGGTAAGTAGATTCCTGCCCACACGCAGTGTTCAAGGTCTAGAAAATAATCAAATGAAATGAAATCTCATCCTGTTTGTTCAGCACTGAGCAGCCTTTAGGCCATCAGTATTGCTAACAGGCCGTGGTGTCTTCCTGATAGAACTGTGGATTCAGTGGTGGGCACGCATGCCTTTTGTATCGACTGTTTATCATGAGATTTAGATGGCGGTGAGCTGCAGCAGCGCTCATGTTTCCTGGGAATTCTCAGTTCCAGGGTGTGTGGTCCAAACTCTTAGCTGGGTTTGGTTGGGAACCTCCACAGTTGAAACATCCCATGGACCAGCGTAGCAGTTTAAAAACATTCTTCCGTTTTATTTTTGTATTTTAGTAGAGACGAGGGTTCACCATGTTGGCCAGGCTTGTCTCACACTGCTGACTTCAGGTGATCCGCCCGCCTTGGCCTCCCAAATGCTGGGATTACCGGCGTGAGCCACCGCGCCCGGCCTAAAAGCATTCTTTCTACTTTTCTTTTTCTGTGAAAAATTTGGGAAGTATAGAAAAAAATAGGAAAAATTAAATAGTCAGTCTGCGTCATCGGTCCATAATCTCCAGCTAGCCAGTGTTAGCATTTTTAAATCTTCATCCAATCATTTCTCAGAGATACAGAGCCACACGCTTTACAAAAGTGACATTCTATTTTCTAGTTTTCCATTCTGATTTACGTATTTAGCACTGCATTAGGTGCATTTTTCTGTCTCCATAGATATTCTTAGAAAAATAGCATTTAAAAATTAACTCCGTAATCATCCCTTGTATAGATTTTAAATATTCTCTTTATGGACATAGTGTTCTTATTTTTTGCTATTATAAAAAATTGCCTTGATGGGCATGAATACTTTTATGTATATACTGTACACATGAATACTTTTATGCTTCTGATTATTTCTTTAAAATACACTCCTGGAAGCTCCTAAAAATGACTGCATCGAAGAATGAATCTATTACAAATTGTTCTGATACAAAGCAAGACACTGTCCCCACCACATACGGCATAAAACACTTCTGCACTCTCCTACAGGCAGAGGGTTTCAAAAACAAAGCTGGAATTTTTGGTTAATATGGCCATGCCTCTTTTTGCTTTTTTTTTTTTTTTTTTTTCTGTTGNTTTTTTTTTTTTTCTGTTGTGTAGGTAAAACTACTAAAATGATATGAGTCCACTTTTCTGTGTTGGTTGGTAATATTTCTTCAGAATTCCTCATTCCCTCCCTTTCCAAGTTTTGGTTCACTGCGAGCAGTTCACAGTGTCACTGTCCTGCCTTGGACCCTAACCATAGGCCTTGTTTAGCCACTGTGAAATGAACAGGGACATGCCAGAGGCTTTAAACGTGTGTGTGGAGTTCCCGCCGGTCCTGTTTCCCTTCTGCCCTTAGCCATGAAATGAGCATGCCTGGCTCGTCCCTGGGCTCAGAGTGAAGAGACGTATGAGATACCCCTAAGCCCAAGTGTCACTCTGGAGCCCAGCCAGCCAAGCAGTAGCTGATGAGCAGTAGACCACCCATGAATGAGATTTAAATGAATGTGATTTTAGCCACGGAAATTTAAGAGATGTTTGTTTCCCGGTATTATCAAACAATAGCTGATCTGAAGAGCTTTGTTTGTCAGATGAGGAATATGAAGCTTAGAAAGTTGAAGCCATTTGGCCAAAGTTACCCAGGAATCAATGGAAGAGTGCAGATGGAACCCAAGTCTGCCCTAGTTCTCGAGGTAGTATTGCTACGTGGTTGGTGCACAGAAGTACGGCCTTATGATTTCCTGTGTTCTGGCTGGAGTTCTAGGGGTTTCCACTGATGCCTATGGCAGCTGAAGACCTGAGATCTTGCCCCACTTAGGAAGATAGCAGCTATCACAGACGAGGTGACGGACAGGGCGAGAGCAGGGCCTGGGGAAGGCAGTAGCAGTATAGCCCGTGTGAAATGACTGGCCACTTTAAGTCACTTATTACAATGAGTAATTCATTTAGAATTTGAGAAAATGAATGTCAAAATGTGATGCTTCACACACACACACAGATTCGTATTTATGAACTTGAGCTAGGGAGTCACACTGCTCAGCGTTAAATTCCAGTTGCCTGACTCCCTACCTTTCTGACTTATAAGTTATTAGAGCATCTGTGTATTTCAGCTTCTTTCTCCACAACATGAGATGACAGGAGTGCTTTCCTCATACAAATGATGTGACGATTAAATAAAATAATACTTATTAATACATGGAAGAGTGCCTGGCAGATAGTAGGCACTCAATAAATCTTAACTAGTTACTAGTTTTAGTATCTGCCGTTCAGGGCCCACTGGACTTGATCTAAAGCACTGGCCACCTTAGTTTACCTTTTCTGTTACTTGAACCAATTAACAGTCCCACGGTTAAGGTATGAGGATTTCTGGATGTCAACCCTGATTATTTGGACTTTAGTTCCTTTGATCATTAGTAAGGTTGGATGTGCATATTGGCAGGTGGCGCAGTTGGGGACTTTGTCAATAAGCAAAATGTTTAAAATTATATCTCATTCTCATCTTCAGCTCTGTTTTTATCAAAATCCTCTGATTATAATCCAGTTGCAAGGAGCGTGAGACTGACGCGCGTTAGGAATTCCATTGGTCCTGACATC